TTACCAACAAAGGAATGACATTTGAGGCTGGTATTTGCTTCATCGCTTTTTCACATAATACGTAAAAATCAGCAAATACAAGAATAAAATTACTTCATTATTTCAATAATGTAATTTCAAAGAGCAGTGCACTACCTGATGAACAGAATTGACAGGAGCCCGAGCTATAAAGGATGGAAAGTAAAGTGAAGGAGAGTTTAAAGACAAGTGCATCATCTTCAGTTTTGCCACTTTGCCAATTTTTAATTCTGTCAGTGATTTTTGCCTTTATTTTTGTGGTTTCTTTACTTAAAAGAACCTGTGTCGATTTTTTTTTTTTAAGGCTAAACTAGCCATTCTTATTTTTAAGAACTTACCAATTAAACATGTTTTGAAAAATAAAAAGAATCTGCTACCTGCCATCTTTCTGTCCTGGTTGTTGCTGTCACTTTGCTATGTACTCATCTCACATGAAGCAGATTTTGCATAGTAACAGTAAATACTGACAAGCCTTTTTGCCTAAAAGGAGAAACAGCAATACCCAGTTAAGTCAGTCTCGCCTAACAGTTTAGTGGTAATTAAGCAATGACTTAACCATCAGTGAAAACTTGCACCATTCTAAGATAAATTGCCAAATAAAAATGGACAGATTCTGATTACTCAGAAGCCAAAGAAAGTGATTCCGAAATGCATCAATTAGTAGCTGTACTCAGGAGCCCTCTAGATAGATTGATGGTACCAAATTAACAAAAAAAATGTACAGGCTTTTCTCTTATTTTTCCAAGACTGAAAAATTTGAAACATCTGGAGCCATCTAAGTTTTCTTTTTTTCCCATAACCCTCTCTTTTAAAAATAACTGTGACTGTGAAATATTAGTAAACTGAGTTAAATACATTAATTTTAAAAGAAATCCCCACTCCATATTTGTACCATGTTGAAGTCAGCTATAGCTTTTGAGATTGGAAAAAACTACAAAGCAAGGCTATCAGTTCACTGACTCGCTGAAGCAACGTGTGGTGCGTGGCTGTGGTCAGGAGAACACCACCACCTCTGTACTCGAGCCTATTCATGCCCAAAATCTGTGTAACTTCAGTTTATGGGCAATACTGTAGAGTCATTCTGCATCCAGGTACTGAACACATCTTCAGAGCCAATATTTTCCAAAGTAGCTGAAGCTAATCTGGCTATAAATTTTCTTGCCATCTCCTGGGAAAATTCCAGCCACTCCTTTTTTTCATTTTTTTAGTCTTTGAATTTCCAGGCCTGATTTCACATTCTTGACGGGAACTCCAAAGGGGGCATTTGGGGAGGGGATGCATTTGTTTCCCTGATTTATTTAGTTAATAAACAAATTAGCAGACAACACTCTTTATGTGGCCTTCTCCCTAAAAACTCGTTATTTGAAAGTACTAAGGCCAATGTAATTCAGCTTATCACATAGGCAAGTGCAGAAATGACCATAAATCCACATCAGCGTCCTTCAGTGGGTTTCCAAACATCCTGCCACAGGCGATGGCTTGCCATCAGCTCGTGCAGGAGCAAAGTGCTGACTGGCAAGGCTTTGTCTCCTCTTTTTGGCACAATGTGTGGTGTGGGAGTGCTTTCCTGGCATGTTAAGAGGGAGTCGAGCTTCCCAGCAGGGTGGGCCAAAGGATCTTGTCACTTAAGGTTCTCTAGCAAGTGGCACCTTCCTAGAAACCATGTCGTTGACATCCTGATCCAGATAAACAAGGGCACCGATTACCTAAGCTGATTCCACACTGACATGTGCGCGAATGCATTCCCAAAAGCATGAGCCAGGTTTTCCATGCACATGCATCTCTAACACAGGCTGCGAGTTGCCAGATAAATATTCATTGGGTTAAATAATAACTTTTGGCGCTCAGCTCTTCCCCTTTGTTAACAGGAAGAGCAGATAGGGAATTGCAGTTTCCACAAGCTTTACTTACATAAGGAATCCCGGTGACAGATTGATATCATTCAACTAGACCTCCTCACATGATTAGACCTTGCGCAATCAGCCTCTTACTTCTTTCCTACTTGTGCTTCAGGCTGAAAATTAGCATTGGGCAAGCCTCAAACAACCCGATTTGAATAACCAGAAGTTTGGAACACATTTCTTGATGCTTTAAATCTGCCTGGGAGAATTGGTACATCAGCTGTGCAGACCTCCCTACAAAAAAAAAACCACATTAGAAGGATGAGTTTTTCCAAGGTGGTGGATTCTTGGATGAAGCTTCAGATCCATTCTCAAATTTGCATAGCGCTAGCTTAACTGAAATTCACCTTTGAGTATTTTAGAAAAGCAGATGTCCTACCTTGTCTTTGCTGAAACATCTGTAAAGCTCCAACCACTGTTGAAGACAAACAATTCCTAGGATGAGGAATGCAGTTTTTTATATCAAAATAAGGAAGATTAGTCTTTTTTTTTTTTTTCCATCATATGCAATGTTTAGTTTGGTTATTAAGCAAAAAAAAGGGGGACAAAAAAGGAAAAATCTTTTTACAATACATTTAATGTTATGAAACATATCACCTTTATGTTCAAATTCTTGCTAAAGCTTAAACAGTAATAAAAGGTTTTTACAAATCTTTCCTTTAATCACACAGTATTCTCTTTGTTTTATTATAGGGCAGAAAACAAACAGAGTCTTAATAAATAAAACACTGACATGGAGTATAAGATAAACCCAGGCCAGACAGTTTGCTAAAAAAATTTGTGAAAAGTGCATCTGGCTGGCTCAGGACTCCCTGAGTAAGGTAGACATTCTCCCACACACCTGTTGCCTGTTTGGCCTCTCATGAGAAAATCTGAAATAAAGGCTGCCTTTCTCATTTAAAAGGTATTATATATACATGTCACTTGCAGTGTGAGGTAGGAACCAGTTTATAACAGTTGTAACTAATCTGGGCCTCACCTCCTTATTGTTGCCCCTGCATCCACTAGACATAAAGACAGATTTAAGTGCAAAACAAAGCCTTAGCTATCAATCAAAGTGAACTGCTGTTTACTTTCAGTTGCAGTTCATCAGCTGATAATAAGGAAGGACGCTTGTCATGATCTTTACCTTCAAAGCAATAAGAGGCACAAAAAAACTAGATGTAATTTTTTTTTCCAAAGGATGCCTTCGAAAAAAGGGGGCCTGAACACTAGAAGAAAACAGTGTTTCCAGGTGACCTAATCCCAAACTCCATGAAGTTTCTATTTTGAAACTGAACCTGGCCCAGAGTAAATTCCTAGTTGAAAAATAGCAGCAACTCAAAAGTGCATAAATTACAAACTTCATCAATAAATTAAGGATACAGGTTTGCTGCATCTAACTATCCTCCTAACTGTCCCAAGATCCTTTTCATTTTATAATGGACACAGAAAATCAGAATAAAGATACTAGTATTTCAGAGCCAAAACTAATCTAAAACCTTCACTAGATTTCTTTCTAAGGCATCTTATCTTTTGCTGAAATTCAAAAGATATATAGAAAGACTGGAAGGAGCCTAATAATTAGATGATCACCTCCACCACCACCGAGGCTTAAACACAGGCTTTTCCATCCGTATGTAGACGTGTAATTCAGGGTGTGAGTTTTCAAGAAATGCTGAGCATCTGATTCTCTGGAGAACTTGCACAGTAGGAAGGCTGGGGAGAGACCCAGACCTGAGCAGAAGGGGAGGCAGGATGCTTCGGAGAAATTTTCAGCTGTAGTAGATTCAGCTGGGGGAGCATGCAGCTTCTTTCATGTGTCGTGCAGACTCGTGTGAGTCCTAAGCAGTCCGGTGGCCATTCAAAGACTGCAGGAGACAGTACTTGAGGGAAATTTTGGATCCTCATATTGAAGGTCTGGTCTCAAGGGAACAGTAATAGTCACACTGCTGGATCCCCTTCCACCAGCAATTCGTACATCATCTCACAGAGGTAGAACAAGTGCTTAATCGATTGCATTTACTCTATAGTTCTTAATAGGACTCTTCTTTAATATGAAACTACTTTTCAGCCTCTTAAGACACGAGTGTGTTCATTCATAGAAGAGATGAAGCAAGACAGTACCACTAATTGCTTTCTTTGCAGTGAGATGATTTCCATTGGCTGGCACGCCCTTGAAAAAGTACTATTTCTTGAAAAAAAAGGTAGTTCTCAGTTTATTTATGGTGAATATTTTTCGTTTAGCACAAATTTAATGCTGTGTTTCCTTCCAGGGAGGTTGTTTGTGGGGACACACTTATTACAAACAAATCTGAGTAGAGCTTGTGTTTCCATATCATAAGCATATAATGAGTTGAACGGAATAGATGTAGTCAGCAACTGGTACAGAGGTAGCAGCAGAGTATTGTGATAAAGTGCTTCCACAATAGCACTTTCAAGTAACTTGGATTTCATAGAATCCACAAAAGATTTTCTGTTTAAAATGTGCTTTGGGAGAACATCAAGCTTTTCTCTTTTCCCTTCCAACTTACTGCAAGCACAGAAATCCTCCTTTTCCTTAGGTAGGGCCTGTCCTCAGTCCTGGGCGATCTACTCGTAGCTATCAAGGCCACACAGCAGGGCGAGTACCCAGGGTCTCAGCTGCAGTCTGTGCAGGTGATAGTCTCTAATTAAAGTAATACTCAAGTGTTTGCTTTGCTAGAAACACAGCTGTGACAGCAGTTGCTTCACTGGAGGAGGAAGGTGCAGCTTCAAACATCACCCATGGCTGAAGAAAAATGTATTTTTTTTGTCTAGAAAATGTTTGCATTTATAAAGCAGGTAGATTGGTAGCTTTTAAATGTTAGTTTAATGACATCAGTTTGTAATTTCTGGTGAGTGAGAATGTTTCAAGGCTCCAAGGTGGGGCGGGCAATCTCATTTGTTTACTATAAATTCACAAGGGGATAGGATCTCTGACAGCAAAGATAGTGCTTGCTGCGGGCAAAAGTTGCTTTGACCAAAACTACATAGAAATACTAAAAAAAAAACCTTTCAAAATTACAGACAAATGTGAGTAACACATAGTCTATGTAGTTAAATCCATTTTTGATTTTGGAATTAGATGTCAGTTTTTGAGGTAATCCAGTCACGGAAATAAGTGACTCGTGTGTAAACTCCAGGTTTGTTTGGTTTGGCACATTCATCTCCCCAGCTCACTATTCCCACGAGGTACCACATCAGTCTAGCGTCTGGAGTAACCAGTGGTCCCCCAGAGTCCCCCTAGAGAAAAAGGAGGGAAAAAAAAGAAAGATGTAATTGATCAGAATGGAAAATATAATTCTCTCAACAGATATTTTTGCAGAATCCAGGCTGATTCTGAAACTCAAGTTGGAAGTCTGTGGCATTTTCCTGTTTGCCATGAAACCTCCTGACATGTCTCTGTAGTTTTACAGCAAAAAATAAAAACTTCTCTTCTGTTTCGTGAAAGACTTTTTTCTTTTTTTGACAATAACCTCTATCCTTCCAACCAATTCTTTTAGTCATGAACTTGGCCTTCTAATCAGGCAACATCTCCCGAGGATGTTAGCCACTTTCATAGACTGAATTCAGATACTGTTAATAGCATGACACAGTAATAATAGTTAAACTGTAAACCTTGCAGGCTGAAAGACAATCCTCACACAACAGACTGAATTCTCCATCTTCCACCAAAATGCTTTACTGAAATAAACAGCAGTGGCACCCTTCTGATCAGGTCTCTTCAATGCTGAGCCAGACAGGAACTGAGGAATTGAGCTTCCCAGACTTACTCTGCAGGTTTGGCCATAAATCTGTAGGACTGAGATTCTGGAAAGGGTCTGTCTTGAACCAGCACTGAGGAGTACATTCTTTGTAAATAACGTAAATTGAAATTACCTTATTTAAAGTTATCATTATGGAAATATTTTTGTGTCAACATAAGAATTTCTTTGCAACCCTTGCAAACCACGCATGCATCCTTACCATTCCCTTTGCCCCTAGGCTCCTTACATTTATTTTAGCTTCAGAGAGCTTTGCTTCCATTGATCCAAGTCTGTTACCAAAGATCATAACAGATCTGTATGAGATGATCCAGTCCAGAATTTAATTTCAATGAGTGATAGTACATTTTTGCTGGCAACTTAAGTGCTACATTCTTAAGCTTCTTTCTTCCCAACTGTACAGATGTTTTGGCTACTGGAGACATTTAATTTTTAGCTTATATTTAGTATTTCAGTATTTAGTATCTCTGTCAATGTCTTGTCATATCACTTTGCAAGCAAATTGTTAGTTTTCACATGCAAAAGTTATGAGAAGCAAAGAGGATTCTAGCAGCTATTTTGAGTTACAGAATAAGAATTACATTTCATGCTATGAAAGGTTTAAATCCTGAATATTATATTAATTTAGCTCTCAGTATGGGCTTTATGTGCTAAATGATGTCTATTAAATGCTATTTAATTTTACAGCTAAACTGCTGTTTGAATGGAGTCCTATTTAAAGGACTAATAAACTGTCAGTTAAGACTTGGTCAACCAGATACTGGAATCAGTGTTAAAATAGTTCTTCTTTCTAATTTTCAGCTACAGTTACCTGACAAGCATCTACTCCTCCTTCTAAATATCCAGCACACAACATCCTGGGTGTTATGTCCCCATCGTACACTTCTTCTCTGTTGCAAGTATTTGAGTCGATAAGTTTCACTGTTGCTTCCTGAAGAGCATTTGGAGTTGGACCTGAGGGAACATGCAGTTTGGATATTTATCAACAGAGTTATTTTGCAGTAGTTTAAATACAGGAAGAGCATTTAATATCCTCTTACGGATTAAGGTTTAATGTAGAGGTTTTGCTTGTTGATTTGTCTAGGTTAGGCCCTTAAGGAAAATGCACACTCTCAAAATCAGACTTAGGAACTGTATTGTAAAGACAGAAGTAACGATTGCATTGTACACAGTGGAAACCCACATATTTTATACATTTTATACTACCCAGCAATTTGGGCAGATGATACAAAATGAAGATAACTTGGTTCTGTTGTTAAATCTACTCAGCATGGCCTGGTAAGAGTGTGAATTTGGGTAAGTCTCTGTCTGCAGCTCACTGCACATTTACCTGAAAACCCACAGAGTTATCTGCAGCTTCTGGCTTGGGCTGGGAGAATACTTTTTTAGGTGCTATATAAACATATGCACGGGTGAACTACCTGTCTTAAGAATTTACAATATGAAACAGAAAGGCTGGAAGAAAACAACAGTTGTCTTTCTGTTTTCTGTTTCAGTGGATTGTAGCTTTGTCTTTGTCCAGTCTAATTTTAGAACAAGAAGCTGCTGCTTAAGATTAAGAAAACTTACTGCTTACAGACAAAGCACTAAGCATGCTGCCACACAACATATGGCTACAGAAGCGGTATCAGTTCCATAGTAGATCAGAGCCCCTGTTTCTGTAATATTCAACTCGCCTGGTAGACTCAGGACTCACCATCATTGGTAAGTGCTCCCCAGCCTGTGATGACGGCATGGATATTGTATGGAAATGTCTGAGATGGCTCAGGCAGACAAACGCGGTGTATGCTGCTCGTAAACTCAACTCGCTGAGAGAGCTGCACAAGGGCAATGTCGTAATCATGTTCTGGGTAGCGGTACTCTTCATGAATAATAATAGTCTTGACTGATCGTTTCAAGCTTGGTGGCTTCAAAAGGGCTCCAAAGGTAGCAGTCCACTTCTGAGGGTGTTTCATGCTGAAAAAGGTAAGAGTGCTGTTAAGTATGTAGCTATAAATATAAGCTCAGTGAGCGCCTTGTAAAGCTCCTTCAAGCCAGCTCCATGCTAAATTCTCAAGGCATCCATCACTTTCCACAACATTGTGTCCCATGTAATTGTGGGCTGCTGCTAGAAGAGGGCAATCCTGCATTCCCTTCTCCACCATGGTCCCTTACTTTTCCCCTGCTCCTTTTCCCTGCCATTGTGTGGCCACAGGGTGTTATCAAATCAAAACTCTTCTTCTAGAAAACTCTTCACTTCCATTACTCTTTTTGCATGTTAACACTGTGTTCAATCAGCTATTCCATCTTGCCCGCCCTGCAGCTTAACCGTGACAATGCTTGAAAGTGCTGGGAGCAAGTGCCTCAATGGAGGGATAGAAATGTGGGTTTATAACTTCTGGTAGCAGCCTGCAGCAGCAGCAACCTAGTTGTAACACAAAGGAGCATCTTCAGAAACATTTAGCGTAACATAACACATAACCTTTTCTGCATTTCTGTGCTCAGTGTGTCAAATGACAATTGATTTCCACTCATACAATTGCCAGTTCTGCTCCCACGAATCAGTTTTTAATTTTTCCTTGAAACATTCAAATGATGGGTCTGCTTAACCCTGACTTTTCTCCTGCAAGGCAAAAAATTGCTCCCCTGGAAAGAGTCAGGAGTGCAAATCTAGAAAGCCACATAACTTGATACACATGGGGCACATGCTGCTGCAGATTCTCTCTAAAATGGGAACTTACTCTCTGAAGCAGTGAGCTGCAGATACAAGCCACGTATTGCTGATGAGTGTTGCACCACAGCGATGGATATTATTGTACTGCAAACTAGCTTGCCACGGCCAGTCCCCGGTCTCTGCAGAAGACAATCCGCCCACTATCCGCAACGATGTTGATTTTGCCATTGACTTGACCGATCTATTCTGCCGTAACCCACAGACTGTGAAAAAGGAGAAAGAGTTTATTAGCTATTCTTCTGTTTAGTAAACATGCCTGCTTATGGTGTGGAAGACATGTAAAATTACATGCCACTTAGATTCTCCTAACAGTAGTAACATTGACGAGAAAACATACCTTCCACCAGCCCCTCAGATCAGAGATCTTCATGCACAACCCATTCTGTTAGAAGCCTGAATGAGCAACTGATTATTCTGAAAGCCAGGATGGTCAATCATCCAGGCTTAGCTGTGTAAGCAGCCCAAATCAGGAATTGAAACCTTCACTGCACACCCAGGACAATCCTCAAATACAGAGATTGTCAACTTTAATGTCCCGGGTAATTTGTCATTAGGATAAAACACAAAAAAAGGCAAAATCTAAGATTGGAATCACCCAACCCATGGTTTTTACCATGCATGCATGCAGATTACATCAGCAAGCTGTCACCTGGAAACAGGCAGCTGCACATTGCACCAATGGCAGTCTGCAAGTGGACCTGGAGAGGCACCTTCAGGCAAAGAGTATGACACTAATCCAAGTCAGAGATGACGAAGGCATGGATACTTCCAGCATGGTGTGCATCCACGACAGAAGGTATTATCCTCTGAACCCAGAGAGAAAATATCCATGGTTTCAGCCACTAAACTCAGGATATTCAGGAGCAGCTGAAGCCTCCCCCATAGCTTTAGAAGCTTCCGCAATAGATAGAGCTGCTTCAGTTGTCTTCTCCCATCCAAACAGCATCCAATCCATCTTACCTGAACCGAGACCCACTAGTTTCCATCCAGGCCCCGATTTCAGCTAGACATTAGGAAAGTTGACAGACAGGACTATCCCAATTCATTAAAAAAGAGACAGAGCTAAGAATTATTTGCATAGCGACAACACAGTCCAAACCATTGCACTGCCTGTCTCCAACAGACAATGACCCAGAGGGGGACAGTGCAGAAACAGGTAGTACATCGCTGAAGAGCTGACAGCCCCAGGGCCCTTGAAGTCCTCAGGAGCAAAACACTGGAGCCATGCAGAGTGTAACCTCTGCCCCTTCCTCCTAGGACCTGCACAACATTACGTTAACAGTACCTCATAGTCAAAAGCAACAGCAATAACACAGTAGACTGAAAGCTGTTCATAAATTTGAAAAGAAAAAAAAGAAGTCATACAATAATGAGAAGCTCATGTGCTCAGTGTAGTCTTCCCTGTTCTGACAATGAAGGAAATCGGTGAAGTCGACTCGTCCAAAGCTTTCCATGTGAAAGGAAAACTGAAGAATATATTATAATTGATAAAACTGTCTGCACTAGCATATTTCCCTCCTGAAAACGATTGGTAATCCCCAGTTGCTAGTCCTAAAATTGCACAATGCTGTCAACCACCTGAGCAGCCCATGTTCAAAATACAGGGAAAAACTCACGGTCCCATCAGTACCAGAACAACAGCACCTAAAAAGGACCCAAAAAGTAATATTATTTAATCCTCTGTTGACAGCCTGCTGCTGTCAAAGGAACCGATCAAACCTTTCCAGAACTAAAAGAAACACAGCTTGTAAGCAAAGATGGCTTTTTATTACTACAAAATCTCCAAACAAGCTGACTTCCTTCTTTGACAGCTTAAAAACATCTCTAAAACAAACCACCCCAACCTAACCCCTACCACAATGCCTTGGGAAGATAAATTATATTGCCTTATATTTCCATAAGGAACAATTTTGTCCTATTAGCCATTTCAAAATCCAGAACATTTCTGTTATAATCACAGGCTGGTGTATCTTCTGTAGATTTCCCTGTACTCCTTCCTTCCTTCCAAAGCTCACTAAAGAAAACAACATATTCCCGATTTCTGAGAGCACACAGAAAGACATTATTCCAAACTCTTCTGCATGTGCCCAATCCTACCAGCTTTTGGGGCATTTCCCACTTGTGGGCTCTGTTAGACATCTCTGTTACACTGCCATCCTTGAAGCACCAACTGAACAACATGCTGGTACATGTTCAGGTGTGAATCTCATCACTTAATGTGCGTATAGGAAAATAAGAGGTAGCAAGGTGGAGGTGAATTATGTTACATCATCCAAGACAGGAAGCAGATTCTGAAGTTGCTGCTCCAAGATGCCATTCTGATACATTACGTCGGGGAAGCATAGGACAGGGTGTGTGCCCTATGCAGGCAGGATTAGACTTGACAAAGTATTCTATTTAAGTACATATTTTAATCAATTTATAAGAGAGATAGCTTCTAATGATAATCTGTTCAAATATAGAATGTGCTCAAATCCGTGATAAGGGCTCTCCTGCCTTTAGCACATTGTAGTACACCTTTCAGCTAGCAGCTGGGACTGACATTAAAGCCGTCAACCAGCCCAAGCGGTTAAGTTCCTTTATTTTTTGGAAGTCCTCTTTGCTCACTCAGTTCTACTACATACACCTAGGAGTCATCTAAAATGTCTTAACTTTCATGTAGAAACCTGGCTTAGTCTCTGCATGTCCAAACACACAATTAAGAAGACACAGTGTAAAAGCTCTGACTGGTACCAACAAGCAACTGGATCAAGCTAATAAATAAACAAGTGTGCTGAACATGAGAGGGTTCAGCCCTCACTGGCTAAGTCCTCTATTTCCTAGATGGCAGCGTTTACATTTAGGATGCACCCTCCACCTTCCACACTGACACTGCTGGAGGCAGAAGCATGCTACAGGCACTTATACAGCAGCACCCACATGTCTTCTCTGTGCCCAACACTGGAAATTTGGATAGAGCTCACAGCTCTTTTCTCATCATTTGCTCTTTTCTCACAGAATTGCTGGTATTTTTACAGAGCAAACATCTCACTGGAAAAAAAAAAGGCCAGGGAACTCAGCAGTGGGTGTAGACTTCTAGAAGGGATTTTTACTCCATCACCACTATTTTCAAGCCAGTCTTCCATAGTATCTCAGAAGACACTTACAAAAAAGGCTTCCTCGTGACTGGGCAAGATTTCTAAACACATGGCTCATCTGTGTGAAGTACAGGGTCACATTCCGTATACAGGAGGATGAGAAAAGGCTTTAGGGGCCAGGAAAAGTGCTCAGAAACTATTAATGCTAATTAAAATGATTGGAGATTTCCCAGGCTTAAAAAAGCCCTACTTACTGTCATTGAAGAGGGCTTCTGCTCTTTTCGTCTCCATATCTGAAACAGACAAACAGTCAGGGTAAGGCTAGAACAGCACAAACAAAATTTCCCATCTGTGTGGCCATCCCACCCCACAGCTATTTGAGTGCAGGGCACCGCAGGAGGTATGGCTGCAGGGGGCTGCTAGAGAAACCGATGTAGCTCATGTGTGGTCACATTCTTGTGCTGGCTACCGCACCCCTCTTTGCGGTGCTGGTTGCTCTTCTCCAGTCCCCCAACATCCTCTGAGGGCCAAGCATGTGGTCTGCCCCATCCTGCTGGACCCTGATGTTTCCAGAGGGGAGCGCAGATGAAACAAATCCTGTATTACTCAAGATCCGCTGTGTTGTTGGGGAGAAATTTTTACAGTGGAAAGTTTTGAAGTTCCTTTTTTTTTTGTAAAAAAAAATCCGCTGGCCGCATTTTACACCAGAGTGAGGGCCAGAATCTGGTACTTAGCCCATACCCTTGTTAAGATCAGAAGGCATTGACTTGACTGCAGCAATGCCAGCTTGCAATAGCAGTGACTCATTCTCCTCCTATCATACCAAGCAATAGGGTGTCTGGTACAGTATTAATACTGAAAGAGATAGTTAATTACAATTTATTGTATGGCACAGCAGGTTCTAGCAATACATTCCCTCCTTTAATATGCATGTTGCATGTTTATGGACAATACAATATGTTCATGCTGACAATAACAAGCATTGGCCCCAGGTATAAGTCTATTCCCCTACTTCCAGAATGATATTTGTGCTGGAACTACCATTTTAGTTGCCAGCAATCAATTTTAAAAAATAAAAGTAATCACACTTTCAATGCAATTTTTAAATTATATAACACTTCTTGTGCACAATGCACAGCTTCACAACTTGTGGCTGGATAGCCTTTCTCTGCAGATCCCTGTCCCGATCCGTTTACTTAATTTCTGTTTTGTCTTTGCAGCTACACAGAATAATAGCCTACCTTTGGATCCAAAACCACACCAAGCCAGGAGTTGTCTCTTCTGAATGCAAAGGGCTCTGGCTCATACTTGTAGCCTATTGTGCTTGTATCACCTGTGTTTTGCTTGTGGGCTTGATGCTCCTCCTGGTATGCAGGATGAATTGCATGTTTGCAATCCACCATTACTAGACGTGTACTCATTCATTTCTTAATATGATATTAGGCAGATTAGGACAGAAAAAAAGAAAACAAACAGAACTCCAGTGCAGGTACAGAACTCCAGTGCACCAAAAAGCTGAACTTGGGAACTATTACAGAGTAAAGGCAGTGCTAGGGCTGCTGTATGTGCATGCACGAACCGCTGTACTATGTAAGAATGGGAGATGGGTTATAATTGGATATTTATATAGTAACACAATCTTCCTATAAACAGGAATTGTTCATGTAATAAAGATCAATCAATTTTACTTGTGGGCAGCCAAAAACTTGTGGGGTCCCCTTTCAGTAAAAACGCTCACTTTTACTTTCTCAATTCCTATGAAGGAAGGAGGAAAACCCTAAAGTACAGGTGCTTCTGCATTTTGGGAATGTCAGTGGTATTCTGTGAATTTCCGTGGATCACATGATTGGTTGTTGCCAAGATCCTTACATCAGTAATACCAGACAGTAAAAGCTAGGTCAGCAGAGGGATTCAGCAGTGGTGTAAACATTACATTTGGGTAAGTTACAAAGTAAGGAAAGATTTGGCAGATGTTTATATTAGCAAGAAGTGCTTTGAAAAATCTAGCCCCACTTGTTTATTTCAACTATGACGAGCATCCAGCATTTTCCTAGAGATTTCTAGGAACAACCTTCAGAACTAACTCATCATTTGGTACAGGCTAATATTTTTAAAGCCTGGAACTGCTAAGAAACTAACAAATGTACTCAACAATGACAGAGCACCTTTTGACTTCAAGTGCAATATTGATAATAATGTTTCTTTACCTCCTCTCTGGGTGGAGAGACATTTACCTCATAATGCCTAATTATAAAGCCTGCAGTCAATTATTAACACTTATGTTATATTGCAAAGCTCATCGAGAAGACAAAAGGAGCAACCAGCTTGTTCAAGTGCAGTACCGGAAGCAATTCAATTGGCATGTTCTCACTGCACGGAGTTTTGCTCTGAGTCACGCAGCTGCTCTGCAAGGCACCTGTCTCTATCTCTGTTTGCCCTTTTATGAGGCACATAGGAAAAAAAAGTACAAACCTCAAATGAGCAAAAAAAGTACAAACCTCGAATGGGCAAAATTTTACCCGTTGCTTTGAGCTGGACCGAAGCAATTGAAGGAACGAGTCTTCCGCACACACGCTACAAGTCTAAAATAGTGTGTCTCTACAGCTTTGAGTTTTAGCACACTTTACATATATCACAACTATGCAGCCAATGTGCTCTCCCCACCCACCTGCTGCCAAAGGAAAAAAGGCCGGTGATCCCTGGTAAGAAATTCAAGCCTGTGTTCACCAGGGTAGGGGCACTGCTTTGCTTTAGAGACCTGCCAGAGTGCCACAACCACGTATCCCATGCTGGGAGCTGGAACACAAGTACTAAAGCATATAACACAGCAATGGAGAAAACCTCAAAAAAAAGGGATGAAAGCAGGTCTGTCTGGCAACAAGCCCGGCAAACCATTGTGCAAGTCAGGACAGCTGAAATTAAGGTCACAGTACCTAGGACTCAGAATCAAGATCTCGAGCCCAGAGCACACACGTATGCGTTAGGAAACCTGAACTGATGCTGTTTGCAGGTAAGTCAAGCGCACAGTAGATCCCGTCAAAAGCAGGGAGCACTTTGGGTGACATGATAATAATGAAAATCAGGTTACTTACTGGCTTACCTAATTAGGGGCTTGCCTTTGGTTGTTACTAGTTTGACATTTTGGCCTGGTCAACAACATAGATGTTCACGTTGTGCCAGCCAACGTGTTGCAAGCTCTGCCTTGAAGCAATCGCTTGTAAGGCACGAGAGCCAATTTCGCTGCCCTCCTCATTTACTAGTTGCCCTAGTTGTTTGCACTACCAAGAAAAAGCATCAATTAGTAACAATTAAACTGTCATATCTTGTCCCAACCACATACAGCTGTAAAAATAGTTGTTTGTACCACATTTAGGAAAACAGTGTTCATACTTCCACTGTAAACAAGAACAAGTTCAACTTGAACATGCATTGCCTACCTGTAAAATGGAACTTGCTGTTTAATTAAAGCTTGCCTAACTTAAAAGAGAAAACCAATGTTTAAATTAAATTACAACATTCTACTGAAACGCAGCTTAGGGTTCTACCTTTTAGAAAGGGGCTCTGGTCTCCAATTGGACAAGCAATTTTGTTATAACAGTTATTTTCTATATTTAGAACAACCTCAAAGCACACTGAAAGTATTGGTCTTAATTTTCAACTAATGAGAATCGCAATTTGCAGTTACTATTTAAGATTAATAACTGATCAGTAAATAACTTCTTTTTACTCCGCAACATATGTATTTGAGCAAACATGGAAGCAAAAGGGGAGCAAGCAAGACCAGGAAAGCATCTTTATTTTGTTAATTGCTTATATGCAATAGCCAGTTAAGACCAGGATTTCTAAGGGAGTTCAGTGCCCATGGATTTATCTGGCAACCATCTGAATGTCTGTAGGTTCATAGTTAACTGCAGAGTGAATGTGACCACTTACCTCTGAATGACTCAGATTCCTACAGAAAAATGTGCTTGCTTTGCCATGTCTCTAAACAATATCAGTGTCACTGCGTCAGAAGAATTAATCTTGTATCCACTGCCTCATTTAATTTTAGCCGCAGAGATCAGTGTTTATATTAAAAGGAAAATAACAGGCAGAACTCTCAGAGACATAAATGGACCAGACATTATACTGAAGTAGTTCAAACCAGGCAAGCAAATGCATTTTTAGGGAATATTATGCATTTTCCATGCAGAAAGGACCAGAGATGGCTGCAAAATTAAAGATAAGAGATCAGTTTAAAAAATCTGATACAGCTTTATCCAACATAATTTTTTACAGACGTTGATTCCCTCAAGAAACTTGGGTTTTTTAAAGGTTTCCAACTATGATTTTCTATATGTCATAATATAATTGCTAGCTTCACAGGCAAACTGTGTGTTTCGTCCTCTATTATATCAAGTTCCTAATTCTTGCTTATATCAGTAGTCTTTTCACACCGAGAAGGCAAGCGAGAGATTATCTTAAATGGAGTAAGAAGGGAAGAGAGGATTGTAAACATTAAAAAAATAGGAAGAAGTATGTGCTTCAGGACTAATAACACATTCTCGGACGTGTATTTGAAGCACAACTTTGTGCAATGCACAAGGGAGGAGAGGAACTATCTTCCTCACTGTCCTTTGTCACACTTTGCTAACAACTTCCTTGAAAACAGAGAGAACTACAAAATTCTCAGCTGCATCAGAAACAGGGCACTCATGCAGGCAAAAAGGGATCTCTGACAAGTTTCAGGAGGCCACCAACCTGAGCAGCTGAAAGGAATGTCATGGAATGCATCTGCCCTTCGGTGCAGAGGCGGGGATAATATCTCTCCTCTAATACTCTTTAATTATGTTAAAGACCATGAGGCCTGAGGTACTGGGGTGAAATGGTAATGAGAGCAGTGAGCAGCAGATAAAGTCACGTTTCAAAATCTGTACCCAAAAGGAGTTTCAGGAGTTTCCTGAAAGATGGCAAATACATGAGCTTTGGGCTCAGCAAGAACATCACACTCGTCTGCGTTCACATAGTGCATGCCACATAAAACATCTCCTCGCTAACCTCCCCATATTCTTCTCGCTCTCTCTACAGATACAGATGATGCGATTCTCATTCCTTCAACAGGGGAGAGTAAGTTGGTAGACACAAGGCAAGGCTTTGTACCTCTAATTGTCCCTGTCACCTAGGCCTTCCCTCCCTTCCTATGTCCACTGGACCTGTCCTCGCATCCATGACTTCCCCCCCACCTCCATCAACCCCATCTTAATTCTGTCCATGAGGACAGACAGAAGTCCACGTCTCACAGCATGCTTACAACTCCACCTGGGCACTGCAGCCCAAGAAGGGATCTGCATGAGGAACTATGTACCAGCTCCATAACAAGTATCCAAGTCGACACGGCTTTTTATCATTCTTTTTCTTCCTGACTTACACTCACATCCCAGCTGCAGTAAAGGTCTCATTACAGTAGGGACAGCCTAAATCACTTGCAGCTTCTGCAGGCAAGGCAAAGAAAGGGGCAAACAAGAACTGAGAGAGGAAATTAATTAAATCAAGGTATCTGGGTCATCTAGGAAGTCAGGCTAGGATGATTTCCTGCTTAATTCCTTCTTCACAAGCATGTCCTTGCAAAATATTAATTTTAAAATATATTTCAGTCCCTCCTGCTTCTGTCAGCCTCTCTAGATTGTTGCAAGCACTGAAATGTACCAGCTTGTGCCAATCTAATGGCATCAAAATGGAGTGATGCGAGATCTCCGCTGTATTTCCCAATATACAGATGCATATCCTGTTCCACTCCCCAAGCTGCTGTTGTAGCTGGTAAAGTACAAAAGCCCAGACTGCTACGTACATTATTTGAGATGAAACATTCTTCAGTCATTCAGGTCAGACACTCATGTGCACATCTCCCACAGAAGACTCAATAAGGGAGTAAGAATCTGTCTCCCAGGCTCTGTACTTTATAAGGAGCTTTAGCAAGCCCCAGATGCCAGATAAATAGAAACAATAACAGTTGACTTGTTGATCAAAACCAATTTATGAGTCACGGTTCATGGTTAAAACGCTTGGCTGTGCAACAGGTAGGAATACTTCCTACTCACTTTGAACAGTGCCAGTGATCTTGCAACCAGTTTCTTTCTGACGTCAGAAGTACATTCCCCAAAATACATTTTGGGAGACTTCCAACCTACCTGACAAAAGGAAATAATCTGGCAAGCTGCTCTACACTTTGCTTAACAGGGATTCAGGCTCTGAGGTGACTCTACTTCTAACCAAGAAACCCATGGGAAAACAATTCAATCTTGTAGATCTCTTTGGTGCCACAACTATACACAGGACAAACTGTGACACCTTCTCTCAGTGCCAGTGGAAGAGCAAGTCCTCACGTGTCTGTTTCCAAGTCACACAACTTTGATATTTCAACCTG